CGTTAGTGGTGTGTGGTCTTCACTGAAACTTTTGATGGTTCTTCAGAGTTTTCTTCGGAGAGTTTGCCAGTTTTCTTTAATCTTATCCCAAAATAGGTGAAGTTTTTCTCTGACCATAAAGCTACCAAAATGTGATACATGGCGGATGGACATCCTGTAGGTATTTTATGAAGTAGATGCTTCACAACAATTGGAGCGTCGTAAATTTTAACCTCGTTTTCCAAAAATGTGGAAGTTTATTGATTGTTTGTTTGGCCTTTTTTCTGTTGTATACGAATGTTTCATAAGAGAATTACGAATAAATCCTAAATTTTTGAGCACAATTGTTTAATTTGAATTAAAAACTAAACCGGTAGGATTTGTTTTATATCAGATTTAGTGATGGATAAATTAATAAAAAAAATGGTTAATAAGGAGCTAGTATTTAAATGTGCATGGTTCCCGAATATTATCAGTTTCTCTCCTGGAAAATCGTCACAAAACTATTAAAAACCCAAAAAACGTCTAGTTATCAAAACAATTCAAAACATAAATAGTACCTATTTACTGGTTAATTATTTTTTCCATTTTCTTGTAATATTAACCGTAATTCAAAGACTTATCGCCGAGGCCGAGTGTTTAATAACACCTTCGCCAAACAGATAAGGACGCGCCGTTAAGTTAAAATTGGCTGAAAAATTTTATTTGCCTTTTAGTGCTCACTAATAGGTTCGAGATAAGTTGTTAAAACATCGGGTTGTGGAATACCGACACAAAATATCGGTTTCGCAAATATTTAATATTATACTACATATATTTCCTTATTTAGATAAGGCGTTCGAAGACCGGTGTGATGGCATTCGTCGATAAGGAAGGATCCAAAAAGATGCATATAATGCACGTTTCTGTTCCTGTGATAAATTTGAAAAATCGAAAGTTTCTTGGATAACCCAAGGTAGAGATTACGTAGAGATATAAACTATAATTATGAAATGCTAATTAAAATGAGTACAATTTATTAAGTTGTCTTAAAATAGCGCTGAATCATGCTGGAAGGAACCACCAGCCGTTTGGTAGTAATCGGTGTGGATTTTGTTTAAAGGAAAAAAAATAATTAAACCGTTGTTAATTAATCATCTGATTGAAACGTCAGAGAACAATGAAAAAAAGGTAATTATTAAAAAAAACGGATTCATTAATCAACTCATCGAAAAGTTGCAATTCGGAAGGAAACTGTTGTTTGATGCTGTTCAAGACACAATCATTTTCATTAAAATTTATCGTATTAAAAAAATGCCAATATTCCCCATTCTCGCCTATATTTTTATGCAAAAATATATTTTTTATATTTACTAGTAGATAATGAACAAAACCTGCCATCTGTGAGCAACATCACCAATCTTAACACCTGAAAAACCTGAAGTATTCTGCTCACTATTCGTAATTGATTTCTCGTTACCTGTTTGATGAGTACCGGTCGAAACGTGTTAAACGCCGAGCTCTAAAACAGCGGCGTAACTTAAAATCAATCAAAACCTCAGTGAACATATAAAATTTAAATTTTCGAATGAAACTATTCGTTCAATGATGTATTGGATATGTATGTATTGTTCATGCATTGGATAATAATAGCTAGTACTAGCTCATCCCCTTTTACACTCCCCTAGAAGCATGTTTAAATCAATCAAAAACTGCCCACAAAACAAAGTAAATGAAAAAAATATTAAATGGACAATCTATTTATGTACCTAATAACCTAATTTGAATTTGTTTTAAGTAATACGCAGTTGCTTTTCTACAAATCACAAGTCGAAGAACAATTACAAAAATTATAGTATTTTGTTTAGACATAAAAATAGGTACTTTGTCGTGCCTTGGAGATGTTTACTCATATTCGATACTGCAATAAAACATTGATGTCTCAATTAGCTGTACAATAAACGCTATTGCTAAACGGTTTATGACTTTTATTATAGGAACTTTCAATTTTTCTTCGGTTGCACGGTTGCAGTAAATCGAAAAAAATTACTTTAAAAGTTAAGTACTATTAACACATAAAAACTAAGTAAATTGGATTGAGACAATCATAATTAGTAATTATGATCATTATGATCATCATAGAAATCAACTAGTTATAAATAAAATGGATAATGTAAGATATAAAAAAATGAAAATTACCATCAAAGAAATTTAAGGCTTGCACCAACTTGAGAAATTCCAGGATGGCTTAAAGAGACAGTGGACAGTCCGAGGACTGCCCAGTTTGTTTAGGGACTTTATTATTTTTAATCTATTTTAAAAGATAAAACTGTCCAAACTTTCGGATTACAAGACAACCGAAAATTCGCCAGAGAAAACTAAAAAATAATCTCCTTTATGAAGCTACTTCGTACGTGCCGAAGACTGACGTTTAACTGCACACAAAGCATCCCATCAACCCGTTCGCTTCGTCATTAAACGAAAATAATCCATGGGAAGTAAATTTCCTAGGCGTGTAGTAGGTTTACTCGGAAAAAGCGAGTCTTTTATCCGCGCGCATCCCATTCAATACGGTAAACAAGTCATTTCGCCAAAAGATTGGAGCCATTATCTTTTGAAAATGTAGTGCCAACAAAGGTGTTTTCGGCTTCTTCCGAACGATTGTCTCCTTCACCAGGTAAGAAGAACACCTACCGGTTAATGTTATTTTTCAGCGTTAAATCCCATTAACACAACCAAATCCGATTTTCCTGTTTAAGCGGTTCTGGAAAGTTACTCAAACTGACCAGAACATCCGCTCGATTTTGGCGCATATTGATAAATTCGATACCTACTACTTATTTATTAATTAATGGTGGTTATGGAATTAATTATAGTTAACTGAAAAAACGATTAATAACAGGTCTTCAAGATGTACACATGACTCACGGGTCGGTTTCGCGATTTTCGACAGGTTCAAACTGGTCAAGCTGAGACGATCACTAATGAATTAATTTTACCTGATGTTAGAATTTTGGTTTGCCGTTTCCAATCCCAGACATTTGGATTCAAAATTATATTCGTTTCTAAATTCTGAATGAATATTGCGAATAAACATCTACATATAACTTTAATTTGTTATTACATACGACTATATGCAGTTTCATAATGATGTTTATTAAAATAGGTACTAGTGCAAATTGTATAATTATAACAATTTGTATTATACCAATATAATCATGGTTTATTTAGTTCTTGGTGCATATAAATGAATTGATTACGATTTTTTATAGCTCTTATAAATGTCTTTATCTCAGTGGATATACATATTGGTATTCATTTGGAATATCTATTATCTATTTGCATATTATGAATTAAAAATTATATATAAAAAAAGTGTAAATTTAAAGAGTTATTTGTTCTCCGACGTCAATCGAAAAAATAAACAAATTTTCATTGGACAACTTTGCATCCGAAAGATGAATAAATTACTCGGCTTATAAATGGAAGGACGATCGTCGAAAGGAAAACGCGACCACAGCCGCACTTTGAACGATTTTATTATTTATACAAGTCGTTGTCGAAGCACGTGATCGCCGACTACCGGAGTTACGCCTACGGTCCGTTCGAACGACCTACCGTGTTACGCACGGCTCGAGGTCTGAAACCTTTTTATGGCTTTAGTAGTTGTGTTGCGTTCTGTGTTGGTGTTGCGAGAGAGAGCTTTCATTCTGAATTCTGACGAACGAAGAGGATTGAAGAGGATTTCTCTTTCATTGCGGTGCCCGTTCGGCTTCGATTGTGCCGATTCCTTTTCAGCCCGTTTTTATGATAATTTTTTCGATTAGTTTCAGCCTTTTTTATACCTACATTTTCATTGTTTACTTGTAAAATTGTACAAAATTTATGTATACAGTTATTTCGAACCACTTTTTAATTTTGCAATAATCTACTAAACGTGTGGATAAAATGTCGGAAATATTATCTACAATACATTATATTAAACTGCAATAAGTAGGTATAATAAGCTTATCCATGCGCTCGTAAACATAGGTGTGATGTAAGCAAATCATTGATTTAAATAAGTAATAATCGGTAATAATTGGTAATTGAGTATAACAAATTACTAAATGAGAATTTAACTTGGAAAATTACGCTTTTTACCTAATTATAAACGATTTAAGAACATTTATCATGTATAGGTGCAATTATTGATATGAAAATTTATCTCAATTGAGGTTCAGGCATTGTATAGATGTAACCAATGATAATTAATAAATTAATTGAGTAATTGACAAAATTGACAGTAAATTGCTGTATAATATTGTAATTTTTAAGTAATTTATATAATATTATATTGAATGAATTTATAATTAATTACTTCATTAATTGGAATTTAGTATTAATTTAATAGTTTCTATTGAAGTATAATACCAGAAAATCCGGAGGTATATACTACAAAATTAAGATAAAATGGATGTTTAATTTATATAGTAGGTATATGTATTAATTCTTATAAATTGATCAAAAATATTTGATTAATTAGGTATAATTCTTTGGAGCCTATATAATCTTCAGATAGCAGATTAACTACTAATTATTGACAAGTGATACATAAACAAAAACCTTTAAGTATTATTCACAACTTAGTACAAACTCTTTATTATTCGATCGAAATAGAAAATTAAAGAAAATGTCCACCGAAAAATTTGATGGTCATTCTAAATCTCCCAAAATATTTGTTAATTCATCTGGTATGTGAAATTTGTAAGTACCTTATTATCCCTAAATGAGCTTGTTTCAGGGATTATTGTTACTTATAAATAATATTAATTAAAAGTTCACATATCATTATGTCACAAAAATTTCAAGTAGAAAAATACAATGCAATTTGTAATGTAATGCAATATGCAATTGAAAATTGTTATCAATAGGTACCTTCAGTAAATGAATATTAAGAGTTTTCGCCTTTTAAAATAAATCAACCGATAATAAACATCAAGATATAATAATAAATACATAAAAATAATTTATATACAAAAAGTAATAAATTGTTCACTAACCTGTTTCTGCGGAGGCGACGGCGACGCGACGGTGCAGAATCCGACCAGTACAAAAAAATGCGCAATTAACCGTCAGGTTGTCTACAACAAAGTGGCCGAGATAGTTGACTTTTGCTTCTGTACCAAACTATGGCTGGTAGCTCAATGATTCTAACAAGTAGTGAGTAGAATGGGAAACCATGGTACCCCTCCCGCGACACCACTAGCACGGCCTACCGAGACGTGCACCTTACGAACCTTTGACATTAAGGTGAGGTTGCCAGGTAGGAGAGACCAGAAGTCGCTCGACTGGTAAGGGATTTTAGGTCTTATGGCGGACGGGTTTTTGGAGGACGGCGTCGTCGGGTATTGATTGAGTTTTTAAAATAATTCCGAATAATTATGGTAGGTAGGCTCTTTATTTTGCGCCTTATGGATTTGCGTTCGCTGGTGTGTATATGTGGGACGGGCGCTTTTGGTGGGATCTTCTCCTTTCGTGAAAATCTGATTCGAAGTCGAAGAAAGGGTTTACCTTACCACTTATAGCACTGCATATACCTATAAGCTTTCGGTTTTTATAAATAGAATTATTTTATTTAAATTTATACCTAATTATTTATCTACCCAAAAGAGCCATATTGTTTGTTGTCTGTTTATTAACTTATATTTTAAAGATTTAAAATCCATAAAATGATCGAAAAAAGAACTAAAAATGAACAATTAATCGGTCAATGCAGTAAGAGAAACTTAACTGAAGTGGGTAGTTTATACAGAACTTGTATAGGGTTTCCAATATATTCCTTAATATTATTATAAGATGATGAAATTAATGCGGGTATTAATTCTAGTAAAGGGATCTACGTTATACAAATAGAAAAAATTGAAATACCTATACCTTTTTTCAGTTTCTATATATCTCAGAAATAAATAAACTTTTAGGAACAAAATTATATAAGAATAATATTTTAACATCACTATATAAAAAAGCTTGCCTTTATCATTTATTATTAGTTTTGAAATTCACTGTATACCTATAGCAAATACGAATTAATTTTGCTCATGAAGTGTCAATTGAGCAATTCCTATATTACATTTCAATTAAGCATTAAAATTTACTATTTCTCGTAATAAAATTTACATACGAATACAAAATGAATTTTAATAAAACTTATGTACAGTAGCTTTATTCGCGGTAATTTACATGGGTTAACATGAATAAAAAGCCATTAATATTTATGAAATTGCGCTTTCGGATTTTCTTTTCATTTGCATTCGTATTATGGAAGTTGCATTGTCAATTAATCAACGTTTTAGGGAAATTTCTTGGTTGGGTTTTCGTTCTATGCGCCTATTCAACTCTTTTTTCTGGTGCGCCTTAAAAACTCGTTAATCGTATATTTGCCAATACAACATCCTATCCTATCCTAACTCGTAACGAGTGACTTACCTATTTACGACTTATTCAAATAATTGAGTATGATCAGAGAACGAAAATTTCCATATACGAGGTAAACAAGCCAGCGAAAAAATAACGACTCGTTGACAGGATATTTAACGAGGTGTGTCCTACGCCGATGGTCGAAAATCGATACATACAACAAACAAAAGTGACTAATGGTCCTTTCAAAGTAAATCAATGAAACACCGACACCTTATCTTACAAGAGAGGTGCCGTGTTACTTTCGCTTATTAATGGCAATTTTTTCACAGCCATACTAATACAGGACTATAAAGGACAAAGAAATAAATCATTCTTAAGCCAATTTTTTAGTTTATTTTGGTTGATTGTAGCCCTTTACAAGCTGCGGATGATAAAGTAATTTTATTGTAAACCAAACTCATCTATAATAGAAATTATTAAGCACCAGATATTTAAATAAAGACGTATATCTTTCAAGAAAAAAAATCATAATTCAAAATTAATTAGCGCTTCGCCTTCGCAATATGGAGGCATCGTTTAATTTTCACACGCGTTCTGCTAAATGTAAATATAACGCAAGGATTTTTTCGTTGTTAATGCGAACGCCATCAGCGAACGACCAGCGTCATAAATCACCGCGTTCAATAATAGAATAACTTACTACCGCATGACCGAAACGTTTGTAGGCAGAAAAAAGAATCGTGTTGCTTCCATTTCTAAGTCGAATTAAAGTCGAATAACGACGGGCAATTTGGGAAAAATTGGCCCCGCGGGGTGTGCTCGGTATGTTGTGGACGTTTCTCAACGTTGCTGCAGAAGAAGTAGAAGTATATAGAGTGGATTGCGGTGAATATAATTAAATTGATATTAGTGCGTTTTGAGAATGGGTTAATGGGTTGGATTTTGTTTACAGCATTTCTATAAGAACTTTCAATTTTGCAGGGAGATTTAAGAATGAGGCATCCACCATTTTTTCAATTGATAGATTTGTTCCACATGCAATCTACTGCGTTACCATTTATATCTGAAATTGTGTGATGCAGGGTGTATCATTCAAAAATAATGCCTAGATCATACCTTATACAAGTCCTTTCGTATTCATGTAGTTTTCTATGAAATATAGCCTCATTTTCATATAATTAATTTTTCAATAGAAAATAAATTAACTCAGAAAATACTTAATTATCAAATGTTCCATTACAAGTGAAGTTGGACTATACTATATTGTTCTTTGCTATTTTTAAAACTATAGAGTAATATTGATTTTATCTAGGTGACAGATAACGGATCTATTTAATAAATCATCAATGAAAAAAGCAACAAAATTACCAACTATAAACACCGCCTACGTAGCCTAGAAAGTCGTAGCCTTTTTTTATCTTCCAACAACTAAAAGTAAATAATAATAGACCAATTATATCTTTATTATTGTAGAGGGTTTTTATGCCGATGAATAACGGTGAGTTTTGCAACTAATTAAAACAATTATTTACGTCGATTTTAAATTGTACATTCGAAAGGAACAAATCGATTAATTATATGTTGCGATAAATTATTTGTTTATTGGAAATTTTAATGGATTATTCAATACGGAAAACTAATGTGGAATTTATTATGTTACGACAAACCTAATATGGGTGTTGGTCGGTTTAGGTAATTAAAATTTAATCTTTTTATTCTCACACAACCTAAACATAAATAGTTAGAGTATGGGTAATAATAATTATGATAATTAAATTATTTAATTTATTTACTATTTAGGTTTTAAATTTAAATCATGCAACTAATTAAATGATTCAATGATGTTTATTTTATTATGTTTTATGATGCCAAATTATTTCCCAACTTGCTCCCCAGCAACCTTGCTCCCTTGCTACCCAACTTTTCGAAAATAGCCGATTTTCGGCTCATATCAGTAGATACAGAAACAAAATGGTTAAGTACCCAACTTAGACGATCTAAATATAACAGAACTTTATACGATTTCCCAGTACTCGAAACGGAGCTCCGACGGCGGACAAATAAAAACTGTCAGTCACATTTTTACGAGACTTGATATCATAAATACATATGTATTTATTACGATGTCGCGTTTCATTGTGTGTGTGCGCGTTCCGACTCGAATTTCTGGAACGACGAAAAATCGGAGAGAAGGTCCTTCTTTCTCTGTGAGGCCGGTGCCGACACACGAGCCCATTGTAAACTTTCTATTCGAAAGGCAAACATTTGATAAGGGAGGAATTTTTTACGGATCTGCATTTATATACCATTCCGGAGAAATTTTCCGAAATTACTATTGTATGTAATAGATAAAATATACCTACGCTCTGGTGTTCTGAAACCACAGAAAAATGAGCTACCAATGCTAGATTAGTTACCCCTTTAACTTTCTATCATAAAGTGTATATGGAAATTATTGTATAGGTTGATTGATACTTCTTATAGAACACTTAGTAATAAATTCCACATTACAGGAGAAAAATAATATTTTATTACTACTTAATTCACAAAAAAAACTTTCCTTTTCTTCACTAAAATAATTCCCACAAGTTTAAATATTGTCAAAAAATTCCATTAGATTGAATCCAGCACGCAGCACGGACTGGGCATTTCGCAATATAAAATCGAACTCCCATCTTGCATGCACCTCGAATGAAATTCTTCTTCCTATCGAAGAAAAATACCTCACGTAACCACGAACATTGCGTTTCGGTAATTCCGAACGATAATTGTCCGGGTCTATGTATATACCGAATGGTCACTCGCCTTCATCAGGTCACTGTCTATTTGCGGTGTCTTCTTAGTTTCAGTAAACTCTATGGGTGGGGTAATGGACATTGAAGAACACCGAATGCTTCTATCGCGTGGGAAATGCACAGTAGTGTTTCGAATACCTCTCACTTCTCCGCACACACACGCGGGTGACCATACCTTATTCACCGCCTCTGCTGGAGCTGCTTCCATTGGCGTGCCCCTCCGGGCGGTACCCCGTCAGGGTCTTACGAACCACTGGCTAATTAGTATAATTAAAGGGTGAAATGGCGCTTTTGCTTGCATAAAGTAAACATCAGAAAGTACCTGTATGTAGTACCGCTTTAGTTAATTGTTGTATTGAAAATTATAGGTGCAACACATAATTGTAACTAATATTTATATAATGCAGGAGACGCTCCTGTTGGTTCTGAGATAAAATAATCCTCCGACGACTTATTTGAAGTACCGGTACCTTCTCGATGTGCCCGAATCGAAGCGGTTGCGTAAACGCAATTATATTACAATAATTCTATAATTGGTCTGTATATACGATTTTATTCGAATTTCAGGAAATGTCGAGCTGCGTTAGGTCGCGTAGGAAGGAGCAATAAAATCCAACATGTGCGCTTGAATAAATTAGACGAAGTCGCGTAAGTACAAGACAATAAACGCAGAAATAATTGGAGAGACAGGAACGGTCCCCTGGTGAATTATTCGTCTACATTAAAGGTATGTGTATATGTATGTGCGTTTTCGCAATGATGGGTTTTATGTTCAGGACGTTCTGAAATTTCAATGAAGGGTGTTTTGTTGGTACCTATATTTAACCATATTAGATAGATATTATATCATCTATAGGGAGTTCTATAAGCAACCAATACATAAAAAGTTTAATGTGGTACACTTAATAATCCATGCAGGTACAGAGTACCATTATTTTACTATATTTTGTCAATTTTTTATGGCTCATCATAACTCATAACTTTTGAGTCCCTTATTTATGCAATTTTTTTATATTCGTTACGAACAATCTATATTCTGCTCTGCATTTATTAAAACGATAATAACAGGAGCATTCTTGTTTCGTTTTGTTATTAAAAATATTTAATAAATGAAGTATAAAAAATAACTACTAATATTGTAAAATAAGAAGAGAATATACTTCGTATAATTGGACAGTTCTGACCCTCATATATGAGTTATTTGATGGAATCCATTATAGGTATAACCCCTACATCCACAGTTATTTATTAAACATGCTGCATATTCAAATTCCAAAAATATAAATCCCTGCACATTAAGTGATTTAGATATTCTATTATGCTGTTTATATTAAACTAGAATATCTGGTTTATAAATTCCATTTAATAATTTTATAGTTATATAAAATTCACTACTTAATTAAAGAATTAATAAATTAATTAAATAAATATAACATATTAATATAGAATGAATATTTTAATCTAAAAAATGCGCGCTGAAGAATTTGAAGCGCCTTTTTTTATGGAGCTCCGGTCCGTAAGATGACCCCTGAACCCGCAGCAGAGCGCAGCACCGCGGCAGTAAGGGCAGCTCCTCCGCTACTAAAAGCCCAGAGGGTCTTTCCCAGCATTCCACCTATGGCCCTGGGAAGTTCTCAAGATGAATCACATGGTTTCTTCGGCGGGCCGAACGCGCGGTTTACTGTAGGAGCGTTTAGTTATATGGCGGATGACTGGGGGGCAATATTTGTGTTTTTATTTCTCCGGCATCTTCTTTTTTTTTAATTTATTATTATTCGAAACTCGACTGCGGGCTGGGTTTAGTGGGAAAACGGCGGATAAACCGAGGCGGCGATTCGCTATAATAAAGGCATGTTTTTCGATAATGTTATCAAAATTTCGGGGCACTTCGAGCTCGCGTTATTAAATTTCCAAAACTTTTAATCCGGCTATAATAACGCCGAACAATTTAGTTAATATGCACTCGTGCTGATTTTTCTGCGGCGAATATACACTAAGAAAAATACTTCATCCCACGCGTATTCAAACGTTTACTCTTACATGCAGGTTTACAAATGCATAAAGGTTTGATTTAAGGCTTGATTTTGATAATTTTATAAACCCAAACGCCATCGCGGTTGTTCGATGTGGGCATGTGCGTCTCTCGAACCAATGCGGTAAGCGGTATACACACGGTATATCCGGTAGCCGGCCAATGTTGCTACCGTTTTGCCCCTCTGATATTACACGTGAGGCGTTCGTTATACGTGTGAGGATAGCCACCTGACGCTTGAATGTAATTATATTTATCGTATAGGCCCAGGCGGGAAGCTCTGACACCCTCGAGAATGAATGTATGAGATGCTTGAATGGTGGTTGTTGTTCAAAATCGATATAGCTGCTATTGATTGTCAATCGATTTATTTAGATTGGATTAATTAGTGTAAATTTTACCTATAATAGGAGATGTGTCGGAATGAATGGGCCAAATTGGATCAGGAGTTATACAGGGTGTGTCCCACAGGAATCCACATAGAACTGATTGGCATGGAGAGGTGCCAAAAAAAATGTTTAACCCAACTTAAAGTCCTTAAATTCCTGAAAAATTAAAGGCCTTCAAAGTAAAGTTACAAATTTAATATGTTTTGATGAAAGGCGCTATCAATGACACTTAAAATCGTCCACAAGAAAAGTCGTCGGTATATTAAAATAAAGTTGGCTTAAACAACATACTTTTGGCTCCCCTATACAAGCCCCTGCTCTGTGTCGGCTCTTATGCGGGACAAACTGTATATTTTAAAGTTTCTAAAACTTACATATGATGATGCTCTTAATAAATTATTATTTTTTACAGAATAATAGGTAATTATATACAGTGTTAATTAATTCATAAAAATATCTGGAGTAATAAGAAAATTATGAGAGAAAAATTATTTCTTCTCTAAAATTTTAACAAAAACTAAGAGGTTTAGGACATACATTGATATAAACTTTTCTTCCTATAAAATCATCCAAATATTAACAGTCTGTATTTGTTTACTGGTAAAAATACCCTGTATACAGGGTCCATTATATATAATGGACACCCTGCATAATATCTATGTCAAATTTTAATTATCACTAATTGTCCAATCAACGCTTCATTAGCAATCAAAAGATTTCACTTATTTCTCATTCATTTGCTGCATTTGATCATATTTTGAGCTAATTTCTCAATGTTTGCTGCGAATTAAAATTGACGAAAGTCGTTGGAGTTAATTAAATTCACAAATTAATCCTGTGGACTTATTAATTCCCGCATTAAATTCAATTTTCTCGAGAAAACTACATTGCAGTTTATTACTCATAATGTCAAGCATTACCTTTCCTACTCACTTTTCGAAACGCGTACCTACAATGTAATTATGATTTCTAAATCAAAACATCAGAAACTCTGTAATATCTATAATCTTCAAATTATCGACTATAAATTTCTTCCTACAAGTAAACGGTATATTCCTTAAAAAATGCTGATTTAATACTGTCAGTTCAACCCACGAGTAGATTTTATTATGGAATTAAGTATTTTTTAGTTTTGATCTGTAATGACCAAATATTAGTAAAGGCACGCATTCTTACTTGAGTTAAATGCAAGATCCCCATTATCTAATAATCGAAGATTAGTGGGTTTATTTACATAATAAATAATATCTAACTATATAAAGTAACGGGCCTCTATTAATTTTGTCTCCGGTTATTTATTACATTAAACTATTAAGCACCTACTGGAAATATAAATACATTACTTAAACTTTCTCTGTAGGAATCATGTAGTATTTAATGAAAGTAATTTATAATAAATTTGTCGTGGAATCTTAGAATCTCCCTATAAAACCACCTATACAGTATTACCCTGTATAATATTTTAAAACGTGTAGGTGTCGCTATCTGTATGATTTCGTAGGAACTTAATGTTTGGTACAAATGTTCAAAGATGGGGTAAAAGTTTTAGTTTTTTTATAAAAATTTGTTATAAAAAGCGGATTGTTAGAATTTTGTGGATATATTGCTACTTCGTACTGTTTTTTTAATCCAATGTTTTATGAATTTCCAATCTATTTTTACTTGTCAAGTATCGATAACAGGAATCTGAACGATTTGAAAAGCTTAGTCAAGAAGTTCATACATAGATGGCGCGATATGTTTGTGAATTTTCAATTTCTTCTTTTTATAGGCATTTGATGTCGTTAGGTCGATAGCAATTTTTAAATTTTGAATATCCGTTCGAATAAAATCTTTTTTCTTAATATAAACCATTTCTTTGAAGGAAAAGGAGTGAAGGGTGTAAAGTACTAATATAAAACATCACTTTATCGCAAGATTTATCTTTTTATTCAACATAGCTGAGTTTCGAAGCACATTACAGATTTGATATGTTGACGACACAGATTCTAGACCTAGGGTTAATTTTTTGATATTAATTATAAACATTTATATTCATAATGGGGTCTCTAGGAACTAATTTAGTTGTAATATCGAGATTGAGATTATTAATTTATTATTATTGCAAACTATTTCCATGATTTGAATACCGTTTCGTTCTGTTGTTCTTGATTGAAAATGAATTTATCAATTATTTAAAATTCAGTAACTTGTTTTTTATAGCTTAATAAAAAGGAAATATTGAAAGAAAAATTTGTATTTTTTGAAGTTACGTGATAATCCCAATCTCACGATCCTCGTTCTATATCAAAATACTCGAAATGTCCCCAAACATTTTGCTACAAAAGTAGGGATATTCACTTTTCTCCCTACTTTTGCACTTCATCCGAAAATTGTGTTATAGGCTCCTTCAGGTCACGTAAAATATAGAACTCGGATATTCATATTTGTTATTTTATCGATATATTAATTATTATGGAATACAGATGTTTTCTTAACATTAAATTGATAATACTGTACAATAATCTGATATAGGTACTACTAATAAAACACTTTTTCATTTACAATCACTCGTTGAACTATGTAAATCGGTAGAAAATTTGCTTTGCGTTCGAAATGTAAAATATACAGGAAATATTTTATGAATTTTCTTGTTAATTGCCAAGTTCTAGTCATCACCCTGTATATACTGATTAACTGGCTTGTATTCATTAAAACAATAGGAGAGGAACTTCATTTATCAGACTTCAATATACGAAAAAAATGAAATATATTTTATACATTTTATTGTGTAACAATAATAGAAAATACTGGGCGAGTTCAATGGAAGGACGGTTTGTTTCTTTAGCAGCAACAGAACCTAAAGCTATAGCTCGACCGATTCGCATATTTCGCTTCGAAAATAAATAAAGAGAACAACAAAATAAGAAAACGAAAATATACATGGCACACATTCGAGGCATTTGCGCGTTGATTTCCAATGCTTATTCACACAATAAATAAATTATATTAATCACGACTATTCGGAAATTATGTACAAAATAAAAAATAATTACAAATTGTCTTAGGTATCGTAATTATGCTGATACAAAAATGCATTTGGTACAGTGCATTTAGTAGATATACAAAAAAATTAAGTCACGTTCTTTTTGATTCGGTTAATTAAACAAATACCTAGCAAACGAATTACTAATAAACAAAAATATATCGTGAACGAATCCAAGGGGAATAAAAATTTTCAGTGAATCTTCTTAAATGTCTATTTAGAACTTTAATTCCAATACTTCCTAGTATATTGATATGCACATCAAGAGAAAATAGAATACCTTAAAAAATCCATGAAAAATCTTTCAAAAAAATCATAGTTGTAGATAAAAAAAATATTTCAACTCAAAATCTACTGTAAATAATTATAAATTTAATGTGGATAATAAGAGAGCCAGAATAAACAAGAAAAATCTCCTTTGCTCATTCTCAAGTTTAGCAGGAAGTATTTTATTTAGGAATTAAACTTAATTAGTAACATAAAAAGAATCACCGATTAACTGACGAATTAAAATTCCCCTAATGACGATGCGATAAAAATATAATCTGATTTAAATACATATCAAGAACTATTTGAATACTGAAAAATATCCGACGAATCACAGTTAACCTACCATCATTAATAAAGATTCAATATTCAATCTAAATTATACATTAGACATACATATTAAATATACAGGATGATTCTTAAAGAACAGGAAAATCCAATACAAGAAAAACTACAGATCAAAATTTGCCTATTTCGGATGTAACATTTCCAATTTCAGTATTCCCCGTTTTTAACGAACCACCCTGTAGAACAGAAACAATCTCGTTAAGAAACCGATCCAATCCTCAAAGAGTCACTATTTTTACGTATATAATTTCGTTAATATAAATTCAGGTATTACAAAAATCGATTAACTACAAAACTTACTTGGCTTAAAATCGACAACATTCAAACATTTTGACACCGAATTCTATTAATAAATAGCAACGAATCCTCCAGGAAGGTCATGCAAACTCTTTCGATCACACCGAGGCCGCGACGAGCCTAAGCCTTCGACCCCGCTCATTTGCATTTCCTGGCCCGGCGACGGAACCTCCGCATCCTCTGATCCCACTCGTCCTTCCATTCGATCACTATGGACCTCTGGGTCACCCCCAGGCTGCCTGTGACTATCCCTCCCGGAGAGTCGTCCCGTTCTCTACCCAGGAAGAGGTACGATCTAAACAAAAAGAGGAAAAAATTGGTTTGTATATACAGAAGGAGGATAACGAGGTTCTTAAATCATACCCAGTGGCTCCTTCACCTTTTATAAACGATGAATGTTGTGCTAAATATTATTTATTGCAAGGTGTAGAGATAGAGCAATTTTGGATAATATGCTTGCATGATATTCAACTTTACAACATGAAAGAGGATCAGGAATCCCAGAAATATTGGAATTTCTAGAAGTCCTAGAATTTGTAGGAGATACCTAATCCCTTAACATTCCGATTTAGAGTCTTTCTAAACATGGAAAAAAATAAGCATCCTCTTCGCTCACGATTATCTACTTAATCAAGAAATTTGTGAAATGGCTTAAGGAAGGCCGCGAGGCCAGCGGAGACTAATCATCGTAATAAAAGCGATCGAACGTTATATAGATCATCGATAACATTATGTCGGTTCGACTGATACGGGTAATTACAGGTTGAAAGTTCGAGGGATCGATTTAAAGCGGACCGACGGGCACGGTCTCTCGAAAAATAAATCTCTCTTGCGGCATGAGCGACACGAATCGCCCGGCAATATCAACAAGTAAAGGGCCTAGATGGGAATTCCGACGGCGGCCGATCGAAATTCGGCCTAAACTTCAAGTTGTTGCTTGTTTTTAAGCGGATTTAGGCATTCTTGTAACAGGTATCCGCGATAATCCGATGGATTTTCACTCTTAATAGATGATAAGACAGGAAGAACTAATATGTATGAAAACTGTTGTAATATTTTATAAAATTGAAGTTTGATCTTATAAAGCACAGGAGAAAGCTCCAATAAGGCATAGGAAGACCTAAATAGGATTGGAGATAACTAGGCTTGTATATCTTATCATCTGATGATGGTCTTTGAAATGGAAAGATCTGGTACTATTTGAAAGAAACATCTACAGATACAGTATTTACAGAAATTTGTAGGTAGTTCCAGAGATCCTTAGCTTTTGAAACCTGAAGAGAAATATGAAGATGTAGACCTAAGGAGAGATTCCAATACCAAACCCCAAACTTGAAGGAAGATACCGAAACACACACCTTGGGAAGACAGCTCCACCCTAATGGATTCGCGTGTAATCAAATGTGAATTATAGGACATTTAGTAAGTTTTACATACTTGTTGGATTTGATTTTGGGGCATTTGCAAGCCAGGTCCGCTGCAGGTACCAGCATGGGCATGGTTCCTTTGCGGATTCTCGACTCCTTGGACTTCTTGTAGATGAACTCCACGTTGATCATGAATCTGACCCATCCCTTCGTGTACTCCGCTTCGTTGTTATCGATGCGCGACAACACCTTCGCCATTATTGCTAAAAATTGTATCAAAAACTTCGGTCAGTATCTAGTCAATAAAAAATATTACACTTATTTGAATGTTATTCTATAGTAACGCAGAATTATTCTTGTTAATTCCTTCAAGCATCATTGCTCATAATAATTCTGCTCGTAATTATTTCGCAGCTAACCGCGAACTCGCTCCAATTTTCCGGATTATTCTATGGACTGTTCTATTACTTGGTTGAGCACTTAACGTGCGAAATGCGAGATTTAATTCGACGGTACACGCCGGCATTTGCACGTCACTTCGATTCGAATATGTTGTGCGCGAAACGAAACTGGCTGCATTTCTCATTTGTAGAAGACCAGACGCAGGAATGTGCACTTTATATGCAAATTCACGTTTCATTTTCCGCGTAAATATTACGTTAATATTTTATCCGGATTTGAGCCGATAACGCGGCAGGAAACTGACGCGCGCGATTTCTACATTTTTTTACTCGGTATTTATAAATGAGTCCTGTTTCTGGAGCGTTTTATCAAACTCGTAGAGGAAAGTTGCTTATTTTACACCAACCTGCCAGAGGGCATTGTAATCAAGGTAGGAAAATTCCTACATCATTACACTTTTGCACCCAACTACGCCGGGCATTGTATGTGAAAGTATAAACTGCTCGGTATAGTTTGCACGAATTTCAGCTTGATTTATTAGGACGTGCGTCTTAGTAGAGAAAGGCCATCAGATTAGAGGAAAAATTAGGAAGGTGATGGAAACTCCGTCTATTTCCAAAACGACTTTTTACCATCGGAAACTTTCCGAATGGAAACCGTTGTTTATCGCTGTCGCTGGCGGGAAAACGGAGCGTTTTTACAACATCTATTTCGGACGAAGGAAAAAAGACTAAATAGTGGTAGTTTCCATGGAAGTTCGAGCGATTCCCGCACTTCGAGCTCTTCTTGTTTGCACATAAATCACGGTATGTGTATGAGCGAAATTCGTGCATGCTTTCCCCCGATATATAGCAGGATTTTCCAAATGGAAATAAAACGCGGTCGAAATGAGAACGGATAGTTTTATGAACTAATAAATACTGAATAAACGAACGTCATCTTTAAATCGTTTTATTGCAGCTTTCTTCGGAATGTACGCATTAAGCCCCGATCGCATGAAGCGATTTGTAAAATCGCCGGATACTCTGTTTGTTTTTCCATAAATATTTGCAAGTAGAGTTTCCTTTTGCGACGTCATTATCTACACAGCCGTATTCTTCGGCTTCTAAGAACGGCAGGAGTAGATTAGGGCGAAATTGCAGGAAATAAAGAAGGCAAAGAGCGTAGCGATTCATTACAATTTGGGCCATACAATCCGGCTCTTTAATGGGATTTAAAGTCGGGTTCGAGTGGGAGGGAAAACTAGACGGATAAATAAAGATGAAAAGTACCGCTTGAAGATTTTCCGGTTAGAAAGTTGGAAAGATATTTGTTAGTTGCATAATTAACGTTGCGAGAGTTATTTTCACTCCGATTCTAGCTTGATAATCACGATTTATTTTGTATTTTTTGATCCGTTTTATAAATCGTTTATATAAGCGTTATTATCGAGAGATAATTTGATTTACAAAGATTATTTACAAAGTTTTCATAAGTTTGCTTAGTAGGTATATTTTTTATATTTTGGTGATTTTTGAGTTTTAAAAGCTAAAATCCTCTTCCACTAATTTTGCAAAAAAATCTTCTTTCTAACTATTTGTTTTATATAAAGTATATTGCAACACTATTAGAATAAGCCTAAAATCCGCTTAGCATTTTCGGTAAATTTTTCCAGATCACAGTAAAACATCAGCCTTTAGTTTATTATTCATGGATTTCATCCGTTAACAGAGAGAATTTTAAATCGCCTTCGTGCACGTATGAAAATTTCATACACGGCCATTTTTGCAGCGCGGCGTGTACGCCGCCGGCGACTTTTTTGCATTTTTATTCGAGAAAACTCTCCGAACATATTTTCCGCGGAAAATCCATTAAACGCATTTATTGGATACTTACATCAGCCGGGCACCAGCGAGTAGATTACGGGGGTTACTGGGGACAGTATTCACAGAGAGTTGCACTAGCATTAGAAGCAGATAGTCAAATTTTACCCTATTTTCAAAATAAAAAGAACCCTTCTTTTTCTTACTTTCTCATTTTATTTAGTGTAGTGCCACTAGAAAAACCTGTCCTATCCTCGGCCGGACCTCTCCCTCGTATTTTCGCGTTTTCCACGCAGAAGTTTCCGTTCATTAGGCGACTCACGCGGAATCCGAAAACGGAAAATACGCTTGTCATAGTGATAAACATAATTCGTCCCTTCGAAAACTTATTTCGCCCTCGGGAAAAATGATTTTCTTTTCCACTTGCGAGGCCCCGCCATCGAGACTGTCATGCAGGATCTATTTCCTCTTTTTTTTTCGGCAAAGGTTCAGCGTATTGGCTAATCCAATTTTCCGGGGAGACCGACTGCCTGGAATATTCCCCGAAATGCCGAAATTGCTTTGTGTTTTTTTATTTACTTTTTTTGTTGTATTCAAACAAGTTCGCCCGAAATGCTTCAATCAAATGTTTGCCGAGGACCATACGATAAATTTGATCATTTTTTTACGCAATTTACGTCTGCATTTTATTTGGATTTTCTGAATAGTTTGTGAACCTTATCCAATACTCACACTTTGCCAAGTTTTTTTAAGGTGTCTGTATAATAGATAGGTTACAGTTACACGATTCAGTACGGTTTCCTTTGTTTCTATTTCAATGTAGGAAATGGCCCTTTCATTGAGAGTGCCCATAAATTTGCCACGAGTTCTGCCATACAAAAGGCGATTTTAATCGCGAAAATTTCGGGACGTTGCTCTCGATAGGGCGATAAGCGCATCACCTTTTTCCGGGCCCGGATTCGCTCATCAGATAAGTCTGCAAGACGGTTTCCATTAATCTGCGTTATCGGCTGTATGGCGAAATTTCGCAGGATTTAACGGGGATTTCACACCAATTTTTTTAATTTTTTGATACATATCTCTTGTTGCAGGTTTTCCCTTTACAAAAATTCCCCTAACATTGTAAATTAATTAATAATTAAATTATACATTACCGTAATCTCTCTTGCAATACTTGTTCATGTTGAGTCTCCTGGTGGCCGCCTTGCATTTTCCGCACTGATCTGAAAACGGGAATTTCGTGAGGAAAATTTCTTAATAAACGAATTAAAGCTACCCCCTCGCTTGCGCGCGGGGGTCGAAGTTAAAAGTTCCGGGGATTAATTGAGTGGACGGGTTTTCGATAGACCGGAAAAATAATCAAACGTCTACTGTAAGCAGGCTGCGCTCGTCGTCTGTGTATGTCGAATGTATGTCGGGAGTCGGGAGATTAAATTGGAAAACTTAAATTAGTATCCCCCGGAATCCGGGCGGCCAGCCGGGGGCATGATTTTTGTATCGAGGGATGGTTAGGAGGGCGCTGAATGAAGATTAAGGGCGTTTGAGCAGTTTTTAATGTCTACTTGTTTTTAGGTTTTGTAGACAATATCTGGTTATTAATTTTTCTGGTAAAAGTGTATTTAATACAGGGTGTCTCGAATAAATATGATGAATACATCATGTCAATTCTTAATAACTCTAAATAGAGTTTTGTAATGTTTACAGTGTTCAGTAATTCAGTCTTTTTAAAATGAATATTTTGAACTATGACGAGGAAAGAAATCAGTATAATAAAGTTTTTATCTATCATAGTTTAAACGTCTTTTAGAATATCTAAACTCAAATTTGAACCCTGGAAATCGGCAGTACATTCATGGAGTTCAAAATGTAATGTAATAACAAGTTTCCTCACGAATCCAATGGAAACACGTGCAATTTCTGCTTTAGCGTTTTCATCGCCGAATTCCGTATTTATTTAGACAATTTTAATAAAGCCGCAGACGCCTCAAAGCGATAATTGCCGCCCAATCATAACGGTGCACAGGCTGAACGTATATTTAACATCAAAGTTGGGAAGGTTTTCGGTTTGTTTGCTTATAGGTAAACGATCAAATAAATAACTTATGCTAACATACATGTTTTGTGTTTATGGAAATTTTATTATGCCCAGGCCATTCGGCGAAATAGGAAAAGCCGAATAGTTCGATAAGTGGTTTTCGATGCGGACTGTCCGGCCCCCAGAGGGTCGCTGACGGTTCGGGGGCGGCCGAAATAGGGTCTTTTCGCAGTTACCGCTCGCTTCAACATGGGGTGATTTTTTGGGAAACTTCTGTTGTATTAAGTAATCAATTAGGTCTCTATATAAATTGAAAAAAATACCTTACTTTCAGTTCAAAATTGTACTCCTTTTAACCTAAAATGTGTATAAATTATTACCCTCGAAAGTTTGGTGCATTATGACCACCCTATAAAAAAGTTGTATCTCGAATCTACACTTGCATTTTATGGATTTACATAAAAACCACCCTGTATGAAATACCATGGGATAACACATAGGTTTGTGTGGGATTTATAGTTAAGTGATAAATGTTACTAGTCACCCCCCTTGGAGATATGTGGGAAAAAGGGGAATGCGATGCAAAACTTGCAATCTTTTCAATCAGCGGCGGTAGAATTTATTGACGTCTCGTCGTATTTATCCCTTCAATTCATCGAATACTTCCTTCTATTTTCGCTACATATATTCCGGTAGCCGGATTCGAGGGGAGATGTAAATTCGCGATGTTTCCATATGGGAGAATTTCAAATATGGTCGATCGAAATTTGAAATCCACGATTAAAAATTCGGCATTCAAAAAAAGAGTTAATAATTCTATAAGCGCCCACAAGGGTACACAATTGGGACTATAATATAAGTGATAAATACATTATATAATAGGTACATTACACAAATTAACTCACCTGCAGGTTTGTTTTCAGGATAATCTTCGTATCCTTCATTATCTTCCTCTGTAGCCATCATTTGAACCACGGGAATTTCTGTAGATAAAAACCAATATTACTTATAAATTGTACGAAATGAAATTCTTCTTTAAAAACCTACTAAAAATCATTTTACCGAGAGTGCCCAAAAGTCACTACAATTAACATAATGCTTTCAGATAAGTGGAGTTGCAAAATTAAATAAAATGATTTACTTACTAATACACGGTGCTATATGCGACCTGCTCTGTTGGTATCCTTTGGCGCACCGATTGCAAGTTATCCCTACTACTCCGTCCTTGCAAGGACATTGTCCTGAAGCTTGGTTACATGTCTTTCCCGACGCTCCAATCGGATGGCAATCGCAAGCTGCAACAAACAACAAAAATAGTAATCAAATAAGGTAAAAGTAAACACCTTTTTGGGGACACCCGGTAAGGTAATTATTCAACTAATCGATTGTATCGGAATAACGGCCGGTATAAAATGTTGGTCCCGTCGATTTCGGAGACACTATCGCGGACATTTAATCATGGATCCTCCGGTATTAATTTTTTTCCTGTCGCGTAGGAGTCCGATAGTTTATTAAAAAGATATTACAATGATATATTGTCCGTGTACATGCTGGCCGTTACGACATTTAAATAACCATTAGTTTAGATTTTTCGAATAATAATTCTTGTAATGTAGGCTAATGAAGAGCATTTCACGAACGTTTCGTTGTCCGGATTAATATAAATGGTTTTAGTATCGAACTGTGTGTTAGTTTGTTGTGAATGGAAAATGATTACTTAATAAATATATACCGGGATGTTAAGAAAAGTAAAATATGGAATGTACAGGGTATACCAAATTGGTGATTGCATTATAATACGTTAAGTGAGTCGATAACATTAAATAATGAATTATACAGGATATTTTCTCGATGGGCAAAGTCTATAAAATCCCCATCGTACAGTGTAAAAACCCGTATGTAAATTTTCTGCTTGTATCAAAAAGCCCTTTCACTACCCGACATTTTCGAACGCTCCCAACCGAAAATGTACTCACCCGCTCGTATTTCTCATTTCTCGTTCTCCGTACGAGCATTATTACGACCCGAAATCATTATTTCGCCTTAAGTGCACTCTTTCCGACCGATTCGCGTTTTCTATTTCTTACGGTCACGATTTCCACCGCAAAACACGGGAAGCGATCCGTGAAAAAATATAAAATCATATTGTGCCGACGGCGAAAAGGATACGTATCGAATTGCCGATCGCATTGTGGTGATTTCGATGTGGACGTGAATGTGGAGTGTTTGTGCGTGTGTGTGTACATGACGTTGGTGGAGAACTCGCTCTCCCCCGTTCTGATTATTAATCGAATGAATAAATTCCGTGCATGCAGAGCCCATGCTGGAGGAGTTGTTATGGGAAATAACGAGCATTATTTAATACTACGTGTTTTTGTAAACTTTACGCTCTTTTAACGTATCAATGTCGAATATATGATCCCGTGTGATATTTAAATGCTGTTTGAAATACTAATCGAACTAAAGGGCATAAATATGCGTTATGCGTAAAATACAAGCAATAACCAGAATATTATCCTCTTGCGAATGCCATTCGACATCGCCTGTTTAATTAATGAACCCTGTTAACTAACTCAAACAATAACGAAATTTCCAAAACTGATGATGGGCTTACTGACCCTATAATCGATTCGCCCAAATTCATAGTTCATGTTCGATGTAATTGGCATTTTGATTGTGTAAAAGGGCTTAGTAGATGGTTATTATGCTGTCAAATTAGCTTCCCCCAAATAAATACCTAATACTCTGTCTTTATGTTATATTACCAATATTATTAAGGTCGCCTCCGATTATGTCCCCCATCTCTCAAGCTTTACCGAGAAATACCTAATATATTATTGTACTAAATGTGTTGTGTGGTGGATATTGTTCTCGGATATTCTGTGGTTTACTCTATTATTCGTTTTATAGTTATATAATTTTAAAAATAAATCTAATCTAAAACCCAATTATTGTATTATAGTACCACTGTAATTTTACTTCTACAGATTAAGGGGTATTGTATCTCATACATAATTAGATATATCATTTATGTAGCGCTCGAAACTAATTAAAAGGATCCGCGGATTGCTCGCGGCTTCTCTGGCTCGCAGGAAAAAAATAACCGCAGCAATTTTAATATAAATATGCCTGACGCGTACGCCTTTAATGACGTTGGTTTTTCAACACCATAGGTGAGAAACGACTTGCTTTACTCGAATTCGGAATGCGGTCGAATGAGCTTAATTAAATCAGAAGAAGAAAAAAACAACAACAACACAAACACACTCTCGCATACGCAGGTATACGGATTAATGACGATTATTCATTTTAATCACTTTCCTGCTGATTGCCGGGGCGACGAGGATGCGAAGGAGCCAGTTGAAAGCGGGATTAGTTTTCTAAATTAAACACGCCCTGCCCTCTTGTATCTGTTTATAGATGGCGATGGTGTTTGTAAAGCACTTTTGTGTACTCTTGCTTCTTTCCGGAGCTGACACCTGGGCTGCTAATCTAAGAACTCTATGTTCCTTCACGATCTCAATCAATCCCGTCGACGGGATAATAGCGAAACTCGGTCAATTTAGTACAGTCGCAAACAATGAGCAAGTAACACAAATATTGTTATATTGTAGGTGTGAAGAGGCAATTTTCTTCACGTTTTTTGATTACTCAATTAGCTAGTTTGATCTGAGTTTGTCCAGCTAACAATAGTTAGTTAGAAGTGCAAGGATATGGAGCAATGAATACCATAAGTGATAGAATAGGACACTTCAGTAAAAACTAGGTTCAACAGATGATTGTGACTGCAGGTTTCATGGAGAGGAGGAATGTATAATAGCTAGAAATTAGCACCTCAATTAAGAACTTCAAGTACCTAAACAAGGGGACATCGAACTGGTAAAGAAAGAGGAAGAATTAACAGTGCAAAACGGAGCTGAGTACAACTATATTAAATTTGTAGTTAAATGTAGAATAGGTGACATTTAAATATGAACGCCAACAACCATAAATCCATCTATTAACAACATTTTTCGTTTTACGGTCACCGGTCCAATAACAATAAAATAACAGCAATTTTCGCGATTATCAACCGCGAGTTTCGAGTTCGGAACGCATTTTTCAACGCGCGAACCGCCTTTTTAAGACCACAATTTGTTTTACATAATTGACAAGAGAACTTATTAACTTTAACTAGCTGGAGGTAGTACGAACAGGGAGCCAACAGATTGCTATCTCGTTATGATGGCGGACGAAAAAACTCACGTTGAGACTTTAGAACCGCCGTTGTTGTTTTTTATGGGTCATTACTGCAGCGGGGATGCGATTTATCGACGTTTACGAATCAATTTATCATCTTTTAGATGCGGAGAAAGGGTAAAAATTTGGAGAGAAAATCACTACGTACACTATACTATACATAGTAGTTAAAATTTTGTAACGTACTAACAACAATTTCAATTAAGATATTAAAGGTTTGTTGTGATTTTATACACACCTTGTATATGTGTAAGTAAATACAAGCATTATGCAAGCAATTTGGAAGCGTAGAAAAATGTTTAGTTAAAAAATAATCCCGTTAATTGGCTTGAATGTTGCAATTGAAGTGCGGACGTATCTAAAATAATTGGGCACGTGGAACAAAGTAGGAAACAATGCGAGTCGAGTTAGTTAATGAACCCGTCATTATCAAAGTTGCTAGGACAACTAATACTCCAACAATGAATTCCATATACATTCTATCGCCATACAAATTTAGCCGGAAAGCGCCCAATTCTCGAATCGAATAAATAAATATACGACTCTCCTAATAGAGGCGCTCGTAAAATTTAATTCAAATTTATTCAATTCCGGCGCGGAATCTTGGAGGATTAGCCCCGAAAATAAGGCGCGAGTTTAAATTTAATAAAGTCACCCTCACAGAGATTACACCGCGGCGAATTTGTTTCCGGTTAGGAGCCCGTTGCATTAACTGCACCGCCTCCCGCATTGCCCACCCCCGAAATTCGAGCGAACGCCGCCGGGGTAATTTATTTTCGGGATTTGTCCCGCGTTGTCGGAGAAGCATACGGATTTGCCGGATGAGTCGAGTTTACGAAAGAGATTTTTATTAATTTCGGCGTCTCCCTCGACAAAAAATTCTCCTTTGACCCCCCGTTTTTTCTGAATTATTTATAGAGTTATGTTTCATTTCGCGAGTAGCTGGATGATGGAGGTATTGAAATCCGCCGTGCACAGGACATCGAGGATATTTCGAAACTGGGCCTAATAAATTTCTCGAAAAACCAACAAGCGGCATCCGATCGATGGCCCTCGGGCGGAGTTTATCCCATCAATTAGCGGCCGGTTTTAACGTGTTTAAGCCATTACGAAAATTCGGAGTTATTAAATCCGACGACTCGACGCTAATCGTCGCCCGTTGTTCGGCCCGAACTTTCATGAACTAATAACTCTCCCGAAATTACCTCGCCGTGAAATTCGCAAAGAATCGGCGGCGAGATCGACTCCGGGGGTAAATATAAAAGTAATAAGGGAGGGAACCCGCTCGCGAGAACACCCCGACAAAGGGGTGTCTATACGTTATACAGAGTGTTCCTAAAACACCATACTGTACTAACTCTCTAAGGTGAACTATAATAATCCCCATTCGATTATTGAACCTACAGGGTGTTGCATCAGTATGACAAAATATTGTTATATAAGAAAAACAATTAATATTCCATAAAATTTACCAAAAAAAAGCAATAAATTCAATGAATTCTTAGTGTTTTTTAATCAAAATACTATTAAGGGTGTCAGAACTGTATAGTTAAACTATTGAGCACTCATAAAAATCACCCTGTATATACGTGGTAAGTAAACTTTTTATGACTGATAACGAAACGTTATTAAAACTCCGTTTCGAGTACGGCGATTTCGAATGGAATCGGTAGGTATAATAAGAAAAACGGCTCGGATTTTAGCACCTTCGACAATTTCGGTTTAATGGTCTGGAACAGATTCAGCAGATTTCCATAAATCATTCTTTGAAGCGAAATCGTTTTCCCTCTAATCTTATTAAGTCAATCAATAAAGCGAGAGCAGTCAGAAAATGTGCGAGACGCTAAAAATAAAGAAATAATATAAGTCCGCACAGTGGCGTGGATTACTCCGGGTTATTAAATGACTCTTTTTTGATAGATTTGAATAAGAAGTTCTTTCGGTAATGTACTTTCTAATTTCCTGGCTTTTGGAAGGAAAGTTGGAGGAAAAGTTGATAATGCAAGTTCGCGAAAAATAAAGGGCAACTTTTTTAGAGAGGCTTTCGTCAAGTTGA